AGCGGAGCGGAGCGTCCCATTCTCCCGTCCTTGTGTGTCACCGAAGAAGACACGCCGGACGAGAAGATCAGCAGTGGTATGAAACTCATCGACTCACCTCAAGTGGGACCAGCTCTCGATCGATACGACGACTGTGTACGTGCGGCAGGTCTTCTCGCTCCGTCTCTCTCTCCTGGTCGCCGCTGGCCTCCCTGGGCTGTCTCCCTTTGTTCCCTCGGCGCTAACGGAGCCTCGGCGGAGAAAACATTCGTCGCACACTGAGACGCGATGCGCGAAAGAAAGCAAAATCCCCCCCCCCCCCCCCCCTTGGCCTCGCGCGCCTTCGCGGCCCGAACGCACGGGGGACAGGATTAGGGGGACAGGATTACAAACGAGAGAACACAGTGCACGGCATAATACACTCGCCTCCCCTCCGAGAGCGTGTCGCGTCACCACAGCTGGTACAGTCGCGTCTCGTAACACAGCCCCGACGTCGTCGCTCTCCGTCGAACGTACGGAGCGTGTGCGTGCGTGCGCGCGCGCGTCGCGAGGAACGGAGTAAGAGAGATGCGTGTGAATGTGTGTGTGTGTGTGTACACGGCCGGTCGACTTCCGCCAGAGCCGCGGTTGGCTGGCCTCGCTCGTCGCTGGAAACAACGCGAGAAAAAGAAGGCTCGTATACGCGCGCGAGATTTCTCTCTCTCTCTCTCTCGCCCTCCCCGCACGGGAGAGAGCTCCACCGCGCGAACGGCCGAGTCGAAACGAGAGCCGGGCGCGCTTCTGTCCCGAGCCGGAGAACGCGCCGCGCACCGAACCGAACGATCCAACAGACACCGCGGGACTGAGGCTCGCTGAGGCGCCGGCGTGCTTATCCCCACCGCGGCCGCCGCTCCTATCCCCACTCCTCGCGCCCGCCAGCCGAGCGCGCGCTCGTGCATCTTCGTGGGCCGCGCTTCGCTCTCGCCTCTCCGCGCCCCGTCCAACCTCGTCACTGTTTCCACGGCGATGCTCTCGCTCTCTCTCTCTCTCTCTCTCTCCTCTCTTTCCACCGCGCCCTCCACACCCCCCCCGGCCCTTCGCTCCGCGCTCCCTCGCGGGAAACTGTGCGCGCGGATCTCTCTTTCTCTCTCTCTCTCCTACCTTCTCCGCCGAGGGACTCACCTGTCGTTCTCTCGGTGCGCTCCGGTTAAAGAGCCTTCGTCCTTTTCTTCTCCTCGCTCCCATCCACTTTTTTACCCCGCGTATTACGTCCCTTCGATCCTTCGCCTCTCGTAATCGTCGTCGGCGCGCCGCTTTCTTCCCCCCCCGCGATTCGCCCCGTGATTCTCCTCGCTTTACCACCTCCTGCGTCCACATCGTTTTATCCTCCGTAACGCTTACCTGTAATGACGCGCTCCTCAAGTTCTGTACACATATACGCGTTATAACCGTCAACTTTTTGTTTTTACCCTCCACTCCGAATTCCTTTTCGGGAAGATTGTTTATCGCGGGTTCGCGCGCGGCGAATTTCGGCGCACGACACCGCGGTTCGATCGATTCCGTTGCGAAGCAAATAATTGTACTTTAGCAATGTATCAAACCGATATTAATGTATTCTGATATTAACGGCGGTATTTCGACAAGAACCTACGCATTTTACGCCTCGCTCGTTGGTAAAAGCGCGATTTCTGTCGATCTGAAATCACGATTAGTTATGATGCACATCGGTTTTTATTTATATCTCCCCGTGCACGGTCCACGCTCCGCGAAGACGTCGATGGCGACGCACGTTCGTGTATTTTAGGGCACGAAGGCTCGTGTGGGTGGTGCGTGCGTCAAAATAACTGCCGTTTGTAATAATGTCACCGCCTGCCCGTTCCCGGTCTTACGTAAGTCTCGTCGTTGTTTATAATTAACCGACAGGCGAATAAACCTTAGACTCCCGGCTGGAAGAGACGCCGCCGGTCTGAGTTTCTTTACGAAAGGATTTTCCCTCTTTCGAATCAACGTTTAAAGCCAACGGTACACGATACTATTTTTCCTACTGGATCGATCCTCATTGGTTCACGTAAGCAGTCCAGCAGGAAGAATAGTATCGTGTGCCGTTGGCTTAAGATATTAATTTGCCGACATTTTGGAGCGTGCGGTAACGAAAGGCCTTCGTGTCTTGTATTTTCTAAGCGTTTCTAAGCCAACGAGGTGTCGTTCCTTTCACGAGTCAGAAGTCCAAGGGTTAAGGACGCAAAGAATCGCGAACCCTTGCCCGTCGCTAAATCATCCACGGGTGGGCCCCTCAATCCGTTTCCGGCGCGTTTCTCCGCCGTCGGTTTTGCTTTCCCTCGCTTCCCGTCGCTCGAACACGACGTGCGATACATCTGGAGCTCGTGAGACGTAAAGGGCGAACGCGCGGACGAGCAGCCCAAGTTTCCGAGCCACGCAAATTTAAGGGACTACACCCGAGTCGAAATTTTAATTGCTACTATTTTGACACTTTCAAGAACAATTTACACCCACTCAGCTGATCTATACACCTACATAGGCCAGCGATAACCTTTGATGACAATACATTTTTTACTCCTCCCTTGAATCTTTGATTCTAAAAATTTATTATACTTAAGCTCCTACTTAGAAGGACCTGCTTTAATGCTAAAGTGGCAAAAGTAGAATATTCCGACATCAGTTAGTAAATTTTGTACTTGCAGTTCGACCTCTTTTACTGTCTTAGGTCCAACTATACAATAGAATTAAAGGTTCAATATAGAGCCAAAATTTCGACTCGGGCAAGGAATTTACCCGAGTCGAAATTTTGCTACCATTCTGACACTTTTAAGAACAATTTACACCCACCCAGCTGATCTATACACCTACATAGGCCAGCGATAACCTTTGATGACATTACATTTTTTACTCCTCCCTTGAATCATTGATTCTAAAAACTTATTATACTTAAGCTCCTACTTAGAAGAACCTACTTTAATGCTAAATTGGCAAAAGTAGAATATTCCGACACCATCAGTTTTAAAGTAGGAGTAAATTTTGTACTTGCAGTTCGACATCTTTTTCTGTCTCGGGTCCTACGAAAAATAGAATTAAAGATTCAACGCAGGGCCAAAATTTCGACTCGGATAAGGCTCGGTTTCACCAAACGTCGCTTAACTTTAATATCTCGGTTCAATTCACGTTTGTCTCTTTCTAGAGTAACATTTGAGGAGAGACAAAGAACGAATGAAGCTAAGCTCAAAGTTAAGCGACGTTGGTGAAACCGGGCCTTATCTCCGAGTCGTCTTCAATTACCGTCAACGCGACGTCGAAAATAACAGTTGAATCGTTTCATCCGTCCCTTTCACTCGATCCCACGTACCTGACAAACGCGATCGCAGTTTCGTCAATTGTTCCAATTATTCAATCCGTATTTAAATGTCTACTTTCTCGCGAAACGTCGCGCGTTCAATTTCCCGTTGCATTCGCCCCGCGCGCGGAATATGCGAATCGTACGCGTAAAAGATACGCTCTCTCGCGATCGTTCTGTAGAATCGAAGTAAGATGTACGTACGCGCAACACGACGGAGAAAACAGGTAGAGCCCGTTACGGTGCGCGTTCGGTCAAAGTCACGCGGAGGTCGGGCGCGTCGTCATAACACAATGCCGCTCTCTCGTCGAGGAAGACTTGCAGTAACGCGCGCGATACTTTTACCGGGACAACGTAATATTTAGCCCTTCAGTCGTCGCGCTATTTTTCGCGAACACGAGTCAACGGCGCACGGGGGATCTCGGGGACTCTCGAGACTCTCGAGAGACGCCAATAGTCAGTTTATACCCACGCTGTCACGTCGAGGACTCAAATATTTTCAATTGGCTCTTCCGCTCTCGTGCGTGATAATAAAATGATCTTCTTTCGGAATATTAAAAATGTACATTCATTTGCGAGTCGTAGAATCGCGTTGAAAATATTTGAAATTACCCTCGGAAATTGAAATCACGTCGGACGATCGAGAGATTAACGCGCTGAAATATCCAGAGACTCCCGAAGTATTACAGTGCAACTTTATAAAGACTTTAGCTCTTCATCACATTTCGTTAACAATATAAGTGTCTTATCGTAGTAGCTTGCTCAATTCTCTCGGTGATAACGGACAGAATTTAATAATTCTTCCGAATTCCGTGGCGCACTGAACAATTACATTTGATCTCTAACGAACGTAAATAATGCTCTTTACGTCTTTTTATCTTACAAGTTACAACACGACGAGACGTGCCCTTTGAACGACGAACATTTTCCTGTTGGTTTCCTACTTTTTGTTCGAATATCAGTCGTCGCGGTTATTTCAAAGACAGAAACAGGTACTTGGCGATGTCGAATTTGCTTGATTGTCGAGGAGCTCGACTGGCGCAGCTTTGAGGGTCTAATTATTTTATGTTCGCGTGGTTATTGAGATTCGCGTAATTAGGTCGCGTAATTGGGTCTCGCCACGATTCTTGCGATTCGTACGAAAATACGAAAATATGTTTCATCTCCAGGTGAACTTTGACCGATCACGCGCCGCAGATGCACCTTAGTGCACGAAGAATTTACTTCGCCGAGTGAATTCGCGATCCATTTATATACCGTGGATAGATTTATCGCGGTTTCTCGCAAATAAACGTGCGTAAACGTGTGTCAATTGATTACGATGGACACGCAAGACACTTTAATCGAATTGGCGAATTACATTTTACGAGAAATACACGCGATTGTTAAATTTGTAAATTGTTACGTCGTTGTCGAAATTGCACGAATGTCGCGAGAGCATCGCGAGTGGAGCACAGCGAACATGGAACAACGCAGAAAATACTTCTGGACTGTTTTCGAGTATACCGTTGCAAATATAATAATTGCGGAAGGCGGACTGACGGACGTCGGGGGACGTCGCGATATCGCGAGTACAGAACTTGATTCAATTTCACGACTAATCTATTTTATTTAGCCGCGCTTTTCGGCTCACGAGATATTATTTCTATTATTCCGCGTATAAACAACATTATTAAATTCGCGTTTAACTGCCGAGGCACGAAGTAAAGTGTTTAAACGGCTTTTATCGCGATCCTCCTCTCTCTGCGTCTCGACAATCCAAACTATTTTACGTGAAATTTATATACGAACATAGAAATTTGTGTGCGCATACATAAAATGTAGATTTCGCGGATATTAAAATTGTATCCCGCCTAGCATTCGCGCGCGTAAATTTGTATGTAAAATAGGCAGGAACGCAGGCGTAGCTAAAAATCCGCGGTGATCCACGACAGTCACTCGTTTTCCAAGGGCGAAACTAAATTCGCGCGTGTCAAACTAATAATTTCGCATCTCGCGTGCCATATATCACGTTCTCATTTCTATTTATAATGTCGTTGCAGCGCAGACCTGCCACGTATTTTCGCGGTCCGAATCGCAAGTGTGCGAAACTTTTTTCCGCGTTGATTCTCGAAAAGAAACGGGGAGAGCCGCGACAATAGTCGCGCCTTCGAAACGAACCCGTCCCGCGGTTGTGCACCGATACACGAAACTGGTCTCGCGTCCTTGGGAGAGAAAGATAAGACGCATCTCGTTACGCGTGACCCCTTCCCCCTCCCCTCCCCCGCCACTTCTAATATGCACGCCGAATAAATTAGCATTATTCCGCCGCGCGGCGCATCTCGTGAGTGCCGCATGCACCGCTATATATTTTGCATACGGGGTAATGACGTTGCGCGCACGTGACATAGTAGCGTTGCTACCACGATGTCTATCCCAACTTTGTCAACACTGCCACGGCGCCCGTCCTCTCGTCAAAGTACGCGTGTCTAATGTGCCTTTACACAATATTCTCCCATTCCGGGATCGT